TGTCTCTCCCCGCCGCCGCCGCCCTCTCCACGTGTCCCTCCCGCCCCTCTCCCACTCCCTCGCCCCACTCGTGTCGCCCAGGCCCCGCGGTGCCGCTCACCGAAGAGGACGCTGCCGGGCCCGTGCGGCTCCATGAGGGAGGGAAGGAGGGAAGGAAGGAGGGCAGGGAGGGCGGGCGCCGAACCGGCCCGGCCCGGCCCGCCCGCTGCTCCCGCCCCGCCCGCTGCTCCCGCCCCCGCCGCCCCGGCCACCTCGGCGGGGCCTGCAGCACGGTGAAATGTCCCGTTTTGGACATTTTAGCCCCCGTGCTTAAAGCAGAAGGGTCTCCAGGCCGGTGGCTTCCTAACGGCTGCTGCCGGTAACGGCCTCTGCCCGCGGAAGGGTGTCAGCGAGCGCCGAGGAGGGGGAGCAGCSCAAAGGGCCCTGGAGATGACAGTCCCCCCTGCGGCCCTGTCCTGGGGGTCTCCTCCCGGGATGGGCTGGCAGCCCAGGAGCAGCTCGCAGGGCAAGGCCTTGCACCCCCCACTGCAGCCCACGCCCAGGCACAGTGTGGGGCTGCCGGGCTGGAGCAGGGACTGGTCCCTTCGCATCCTGGCTGGAGTGCGGAGCGGGGGCACTATCCTGCTCCAGGTGAGCAGGGCCAGAGCTGCGCCTCGTGAAGCCCAAAGGGAAGGATCCTGCTGCTTGCTTGGGCAGGAGGATGCGCGGCTGTGGGAAGCAGAGCACTCTAGGGCTGAGCTCACGCTCGCTCCTGGCTCTGAGCCCGCTCCACTCCCCCAGCCGAGCAGGACTGCTCCGTTCAGCCAGCCCCTTCCTTCCACCTGGAGCCAAGTCAGCACGACTGAAGAGGTAGGAAGAGCCCAACCCCATCCCAGCAGAGAGCAGTTCACGCAYTGGGGGCTGCACAGGAGCACGGGGCTGCCTGCAAACTCCTTTGCTTCCGCACTAGCTGCTCCCTGTGGCTCAGATGTGGCTCACACACACATCCTCTTCCCTTAGCAGCTCAGCCTCTCAGCCACCAAGCAGCTAARCCCAGCTCCTGTGCCCAGGACACACCAAAGGGTAGGAAAAACCCAAGCCCCTTTGCAAGACAGGATGCAGCAACACCGAAGGAACAGATATTTTATGTTTATAAAAGTTTCTGAGTTGCCTGCTGCTGCAAAGGCCAGTGGAAGCACCTCAGACTCGCAGACGCAGAGCAGCTGGTTTGTTCTTCCCAAGCCCCCGAGCCCCCTTTGCAGCACCGGTCTTGCAGCTGATAACKCTAGAGCTCGCTAATGTAAGTGCTGTGCTTCCAGGTGCTACTGCAATGCATCTGCATTTCTAAAGCACCATCCTCCCAGGACGAATCCTACCAACTCAATATAAATTTAAAAAATCTCTTTCTTCCCACAGTGAATAAGAGAAGGATGTAGGAACCTTTTAAGCCTCAGAGACCAACATATTGTGGGAAAAACCAGGACAGCAAATCCCAAGTCTGTTGTTTTCTGCTTTTCAGGACATTCATTGAGGCACGGACACTTCCAGGATGAGGATGTTTCCTCCGTAACACGGCCCCGGTGACAGCTCAACAGCTGCCCCCTTACAGCAAAAGCCTCACCTGCTCCATAGGGATTTTTACACTTTTCAAGGGTAGGGAGTAGGAATTTCCACAGGGTCACTGAGTACCCACCTACGACAAAGCGTCACAGCAGGTAAGTGACAGCAGTGCAAGCCTGACCCACCAGAACTGCAGASGATTTCTCCAGCAGCTGCCTCCGAGGATATCCAACCCAAAAAGCACAAAGCCACGTGCCCCGTCGAGCCTCTCTGATTCAGGAACCTCACACACAAAACACATTTCTTATTTACATTCACTTCTCATTTTTATTCTATTTCTTGCATGGTCTTCAAATACAGTTTTACAGGTCTTTTTTTTTTTTTTTTTCTGCTACAGATACTGTTGATCAAAAACAGATTATGAAAGTGGCATTCCAACCTTAATGAAAATTCATAACCATGAAAGATATGTCAACGTATCACTTTACAATCCTAGAATTATGGTATTGGCCTGACATTCCGTAAGTTTATACAATTAATTTCTATAATAACAAAGTCATAGGAAGAGAAAATGTGGCAACTCCTTAAAAGCCAAGAAATAAGGCCACAGGCATCCTATGCTGTAATGAATCCAGATAAAATAAGTTGACTCTGGTATCCATGAAGAAACAAAACTCTCCCATCTGATAAATCAAGGTATCAGCTACTCAACATGCACTCAAAGCTGTATAAAAACCAGTGGCATTCAGCTCTGACTTACATGAAATTCAATAGCACAACCTCGTACCTCTCTAAAAATGAAATGAACTTGTTTCAACTTAAATATTTCGCTACCGCATTAAAAAAAACAATTGTTCACATTCTGCAAAGGAAAAAGAAAAATACCTTGCATGTGACTGCACCAGAAGGCCAAATGCAGCATGTCCTTACAGGTTGCAGACAACATTACTGCAGTCTTAATGCCATTCATTACAGGCTGTACAACTTCTTCAAAGCCTGTGCAGCTGGAAGCTTAGATCAAGAACTGAACTTCCTTTGTGCACCATAAAAAAAAAAAAAAAGAACAAAAAACCACAGTTATGGTAACAGGTGAAAGGAGCAAGGTACTGCAAGGTGTGTATCATTGGCCAATTACATTTCTGGGACACTGGGGCTTCTGTGAAATACCAATTTCACAAGTGATGCAACTGCCTCCCTGCTGACTCCGTTACATAGCCAAACACACCAGGTAAAAACATTAAACTCTTGGAACATTTAAAAGCAGTTAACCATTTAAATAATGTGTAGAAATGTGTTTATCGTGGCATTTCTTCTAGAAAAGTTATTTGATACAAATGTGCAGGATTTGAAGACCCTGATTTAATCCAACTAGTACAAACAGGCTTTAAAACAGAGAATGYTCCAAGGAGAAATCCCAGCTGGGGGCCAGCTCTCTGCCAGTCACCTTCTCCCAACCACAATTCTGTGCAAATGCCACAAAAAATAAGAGGCTTAGCAGCCCACCCCATGAATTGCTGTTCAGTCCCAGGAGAATGATGATAGCCTCAAGCAGTGACAACCTTGCAAAAGAACAAACTGCCACCTGAAGGGAGGATCCCTTGGGATCGGCACCCTGTACTCGAGATGGTCGGTTCCTAGCCCTGGATATGAGGCACAGTAAAAAAGGTCAGTGCTGAGGACAGATTCGCTCTCCACTGTGGTTTTACATTATTCCAAAGTGCCATCTTGGACCTAAACCATTTCACGCTTCAAAAGAAAAAGTTACAAAACCTGGTAAACAAARAGTTAGTCAGCATACAGTTAAGTTTATATACACTAAAATTTACAAGTTTTCCATTAAGTGACTTCTGCCACAGACCACTGCACATTCGTCCCTAACAAAGCACTAAGCTTGAACCAATGGTCATTAGAAGTGACAACAGGTCATTGCTTTATCAACAAGCATAAAGATAGTCAAAAACAGAACTGTAGCAACTTATCTTTAAATTTGCTGATTGACACAAGTAATCCCTCCCCTTTCTGCAACGCCTAGTTGCACATTCCCTTGCACGACAAAGAAAAAACCCTCCATTTTTACAGCTATTTCCATTAGAAACCACTGTTCTGTCGACACCTGAATGCACAAAACTGCTATCAACCCCATCGCTGAGCGAGAGGGATTCCTCCGGGAAGTTATAGCCCATGCTTGGCACTTCACACAAGACCAGGAGAGGACAAGGTTTCTCTTTGTCAAAACAGTGTTTTCAGCAGCAGCATCTTCTTCCACCAAATTACAGTCCGAATGTGTGATGGGTGATTTTCACATAGCCCCTTCYACCAAGCTGGTTTATTGCCAACTTTGTGCAGCTAGACCATAGGAAGATCCCCACCACTGCRTGCCCAGCTGTTAAGGGACTACAGTTCTGGAACAGTTTGCTGTCAAGTACTTCAGAGRCTTCTCCCAAGGATAACAACATCCTTTGGAAATCCTTCCATTTTAGCTATTTCAAAGCAACCCAGCTTGCTGTAAAATTCCAGAATTCTTTTATCGTCTGGTCTCACTTCACAAAAAGCCCCACGGGAGCCTGAGGAGGGAAAAGAGAGAGAAACGCAACGGTATCAGAGAAAAGTTATGATAAAAAGCACAAGCTACAAATATTATTAGATTCCTCACTCATCTCAGCATTTAAATCCAGTGAAATCACTGACGGAATTCAACATGAAGCACTGTTAGTGCCCAAAAGAGGCAAAATTTATGGCAACATAGCTGACCATCCCCTAAAGGGACTGCATAATGCAGACATTATCTTGTCAGCCTCTACAAACTAGCTCCCTGTACACATCTCATGCTTCCCATCAAAGCACTCCAAACTCRGGCATTGCCTCAGAAAGGCAGTGGTACCAAATGGTGCAAGGGAACCAACCCTCAGGTGAGCAGCAGAGCAGAAGGCCAAGTGCATYCCCATTTTGAAGGCTGAGGTAACTACTCACCAGGGCACACTGACATATGTAAGAAAAAGCATCACTGCCAGAGCCAGCAGGGGAACCAAACATTTCCATGTTGCTCAAAATGCAAAAAGATGCAGTCTCGCTGCCAAATTGCTCCCACGGTTCTTTCTATTTTCTAATTTGCAGGGTAATAGCTAAAACAAAGCTTTTTGCAGAAGACAGCAGCACAACAGTTAACTGGCAAAAGCATTTTAGAATTATTTACCCAAATAATCTAGGGTGCTATGACATGAAGCAWATACCTCAGGAAAACGTAAAATGTGTTAACATTAACCATCCCAAATTTGTCTAATATCACAAAGCTATCAGGTAATGAGGAAACAAAAGAATTTCAAGTGCAAGAAGTTTACCATTAGCCTTTAGAGAGGAGAGCAGGCAGGCCATCATACTTTTTGCCACACTTGGATCTGTCACTTTTTTATGGATATCAATCTTTATCAGTGATGGGAAGTTGGCAAGGAATGACTCAGGCAATACTTCCTGCTCTTCRTGGAAGCTTAGCATTATTTTCTGAAGACAACATGGGAAATAGATAAGTTAACAGATAGGCACAACCCTACAGCAAAAGAAGGGAAAACAAAACAAAACACAAGAAAGGCTCACAATGGTATGTGTAGTCACAGGACTATTTTAAATGCTGTATTTCACAAAAGAATTTATTTATCCTAAGAATTTGGRGCCTCAAGACAAACGTGTACTAAAGAACAACTGAAGTGTATTAGAAGTCAGGAATGCAGAAAAAAAAAGATGACCTGAAAAGCATGGTCTGAAGAGGTAAGAAACACAAAGTAAACCTAATCAATCCTATTCTGTGAAAAAAAATGTTCCTTTCCTGATCTTCAATGATGATGACTCCTAAGCGGTTACTGAGGGTTCTTTATTTTTCTCTATGGTATCAAAAGAGTATTTGGAGAAAAACCCAAAGACTCCTGTTTTCCAGAGAACAGTCCTCAAAACAAGAGTCTTTAGAAACAGACCTTTCCTGCTCTGTTGTACCGAAAGCAAAAATCCTGGTGTAATGTGGCAAGAACATAAAATGCCCTTCTGTTCCTAGAAATCTGAAAGCAAAGCTAAATGATGAGCACAGAATATCTCCTCCTTTCCCTCTCTGAAATTGTCTTTAAAATCCTGGAAATCAATGCTCCWCCTTTACTGTACCTGCTACAGCTTTGCTGGGTTTAATTTGGTATCTTCACACACACCAGCTCTGCTTCAAAATCTCAAGTTTCCTCAAGTTTGAAAACACACCATTGTACAAAGGCTAAAGAATGAAGCCAACAAGATCTGCAGACTGCAGAATTAACTCCACTTTAACAGCAGTGAAACAAATAAGACATCTTCTAGTCATGTTTATCCTAGCACATACCTTTGTAAAGAAGATATTTGCTGCAAGAAACTTCCTACAGACCTCACTTTCCCCCCCCATCAAATGTGCCTAAAATTAGTGGGCAATTTCCCAACACAAAGCRACAAACATCTCATTCAGTTTTCAGGAAATTTTGCTGGTACGAGGGCTTGTGCTCTCAGCCCCATGAGCTGCATTAAGACTGTCACCATCCTTTCCAAACAAAGCAAGAGCACATTGGCACAGCCTGTGTCACTCCAGATGCTCCAGGTTTACCCTGAGCTTGCTGGCAGCACAACGTGACAACCCAGCAGTCTGAGGGCAGCTTTTGCATCACAGAACGTTTTCTGGAATGATCTGCTTTTCCTCAAAGCAGCTGATGTAACTGCTCATTGCCCCTGGGCTCCCATCTGATCCTCTCTTCACATGCTCTTTCCACACAAGCAACACATCTGGGGATAGGCYATGGTTAACAATTATTTTATTTTTTCGAATAAAAGGGCTCCTAATTCTTAGGGTAACATATATTTGATTGCAGGCACTTTTCTTGATGAGAATGCATCAGCTAAGATCACCCATTTCTGACACTTCAGTAGTACTCTAGTTTTTTAATTTCTTTCAATAATAACTCAAAATATTGATTCTTGGCACTTGCCGTTATGCACCATTTACAGCTGTCACACCACACACACAGAGTTTCAAGATTTTAACATCTTGAAGAGGCTTGTATTTCAGTTTTTCTATACTTAAACTAATATGACTGAGAAGAGCTAGTTTTTCTTTGAATATGGAGAAAATAATAGCTGCTAATTTATTTTCCAAATGTAATTTTATCCACATTTATGTTCTATTTTGGTTTGAAAGGAACAGCAGAAGCCATTCTATACGTACTGGATTAATTAAGACTAAAGTACATCTCATGGGTTTATTGCAGCTCACAGCTGTATCTGATTCATAGTAACAGAGCATGAGGTCACATAACAGGTCAGATTATACTCAAATACTTAAAAGAACACTAATATTGAGTAACATAGAAGTGCAACATGCAAAAAAAAACCCTAAAAAAAAAAAAACCAAAAAAAGATTTGTTTCACCAAAGAGGAATGTAGTTCTACATACAATTCTGGTCTTATGTGTATACTAACCTCTGCTTCAGACAACTCCTTGTCACTGTTGGGTTTAGTGTACTTTTCTTGCATGAAAGGGATCCAAGACATTTTGCATTTTTTAATGAAAGGAGTCACATCAACTGTTCCCAGGGCGTAGCCACATATGCCATCCTCATCTTCTAAGACAAAGCAGTAATCCAGGCTGAGGGTGAGCAGACCTCCCACTAACCTGCAGAAAGAAGGGTCCAAATTCAGTCAAGAGAAGGTCACTCTGAATGAAGCAGTTCAGCCATTCTAGAAGAAGCCATGAGGTCRTCCAAAGAAGCAATAGAGCCCACCAGCAATGGAACTACTTTCTAGAAAGTAGTAATTAACAGACTAATCAGACTAATCAGATACATGATACCATGATACCAATACTTTCACAAAATCTCAAAACAGAATTATTATGAACAGGTAAACAAGTTTCATAACAGGTTTCAGCTGAATCTTTTGGGCAGAGCTTCACAACAAGCGACTGGAGCACAAATTGAGATGCAACCATTAATGCTCTCTCTCAAAAAAGAAAGAAACCCATTTTCAATGGCTGCAGAGGGCTTTAGCTCAAAGGGCTGTTTTTCTTCTCCCTCCTTTTTATCCTCTGTCCCCACCCCTTTTTTTAAGCTAAATACAATATTAGGACTTCATCCTTCAGAACCACTTCTGCCAGGTATCCATCATTCATTCTTAATACTTACTTGTCTCCAATTAAGTCTGGTAAGCTATGGAAGGGTTGATCAGCTCCATCAGCATACATTTCTCTGCAGATCTTATACACAGATGCCTAAGAAGACAGAGGGCATGTTTTTCTTGGGCAGTTGAGCAAGTCAACAACTTTGTTTGGGACAGATTTCTCTAGTATCTGTCAGTGCAATCTAGGACTGGTAGGCATTTAAGATACATGGAATAAAGATATATATTGCTAAGAATGTCTCTCCCTCCCRATTAGCTCTTAAAACAAAAACTGCTCATCAAAACCACTATGTTTAAGTGCAATGACTAGGAAATACGGGCTGGAGAAATCAACCACACACGTGTCATAATAGCACAATATTCATCCTGATGGCTGTTTAAAAAAATGCAGTGATAATCAATACACTTGATACAAAGCCTCTCTCTCTCCCAAAATTCTAATTGTTTAGATCATGAATGACAGACGCATCCTGATGGATTTCTTAAACATAAAAGGCTTTTACTGCCCTTCAGCCATAGCAGCTGAATCTTTCTAAAATATGGCTGCTAAAAGTTTGCTCTTTAAATGAGAAGGGCTACATATTTCACCAAAACAACTAATTGGTATGTCTCCTGCCTCCCTTCCTAAGGCCACTCCTTCTCAGAAGAGATATTCTTTATGACTAAACATTTAATAAATTGTATCACYAGTTGCTTAAGTGGCTTACAAACACCAATTCCATTGCCTACAAAAGAACAAGTCAGCTCAGGTAGCATGCTGCATTAAGGGACAAAGAGCACAGCAGACCACAAAGCTAGCTTAAACTAGCAGGTAAAGGACATGTCTTCACATGACAGCCTGGTCTTTCCGGTGGGCTTCMAAGTAGAGAATCACTTGAAACATAAGTATCTAGGCTGATTTTGCAGGAATTCAAATGAAACATTTCATCTCAATGTAGCTGTGGAGCTGAGTTTAAGCTACACTAATCCTTACATTGTTTAAATTTGTACTCATGAAGACAGTTACTAATTTTTGGTATGAGTTTAAAGACCCTCTTGCTAAAACGTGTGAGTGAAGCTGCACACAAGATTGGAGATGGAGTGTGTGACAGCTGCTCATTATCAGTAAAGAACTCATGGTTAGAAAATATCCTTTTCTCCAAAACAAATTTGACAAAAATCATTTCAAACATCAGTCTAAGAAGTTTACAAAGTTTGCAAACATTAGGAGGAAGGAAAAAAAAACATGGCTGAGTTAGAGTGGCCAATTATTATCACATCTTACAACTACATTTTGAGCTGCAATATTGATTCAAAGGCACACAACATATGTAACAACTGAAGTTCAGCCCACATGACTGTGAGGCTACCATTAGTTATCAGAATAAYTACCAAGTGAAGAGACACAGGGCACACAGCCCCTAAGCTCAATATACTGCATGCAACTGCCCTGCAAGAATTCCACTGCCATCATTGCACCGTTTTAATTTGCCTTTCACAAGCAGAGAAAGGGCTCACAGATGAAAAGAGGGGAATGGGGAATAAAGATGTGGGTGTAACTATACTTCTGCACAGCATGTTATTGAGTGATAGGCAAGTGACAAGGTTTGTTCCAAGTGCAGCTTGCCCTTCGTGCCTTGTGCAAGATGCTGGCATGTCTGTTTTCTCAGGAGATAAAGGGCAGCAGCCACGGCGTTGCCCCAAAACAAAACGCCCCGTYAGCGAAGGTGACAAAAGCAGTTACCTCATCTTTAGGAAAGTAGGGTCGTATTGTGTACACTTTGGAAGTGGGTGTTAGTGGAGGTGGTTGAAAAAAGAGGTCATTTGCCCCATCAATAGGCAGCAAGCGCTGTGAAAACAAAATATTCAATATGAGCATATGAACAACAAAACCCATCACTCTTGGGTGTGCACTGCAGGCTCCCAAATTAACATTTGCTACTGCAGGCACCCCAGAAGAAGGTGGGATTGGTATGCTTTACAAATGCAAAGACCTCATCTGAATAGAAAATATCCAATTGGTGTTTTAAAATATACAACTGAAACACCACATTAACTGATAATCTTATCTGCTTTAACATACTTTTACCCATCCTATCTACACTGTCTCTGTATAAGAATATAGAATGTCAGGAGGAAAGGTTTGGTCTGAAGAGGGTTAACTGGCCAGAGGAGACGCTTTATCCCAAAAGCAATGCGCTGATTCAATTTGCTGCGCGCAGAGCACCTGTGAGGGGGAAAAGTATAGCACTTGAAAAATCCATGAACAAATTCGAACATGGCATAAACAGATTTAAGCTTACTCCCCAATTGAAGCCTTTGCAGCAAAGTGCCCGAGAGCTTTATTTAGAGAGGAATCGAAATTTGCGTGGCTATCCCTTTTGCTCATGGAATTCCCATYGGCAGACAAGCATGCGCGCATTGTGCAATTGCGGGCGCAGAGAAAAATGCTGTGCGACCTGCAAAGAAACAATGTGAAATGTACAACTAAAGCCGCTGCGCTTCGCATGCGCGGGGGACAGGCAGCATCTCCTTGAGAAATTACTGTAGAAAGGGGAGGAAAATTGTTTTAAACCAAGCTGTAAGGCTAATGGGCTTTGGACCAGAAAGCCTTCGGCAGACCAATCCTTCCAGACCTCTGATGTGCAACAAAAGGTTTCTCATAAAAACAAAGAAAATGTCATTCAGTTGTGAAGTCATATTGATACCTGGAACTCTCCTGCTAGACCACCTCTAAAGGCCCAGGGTTCTTGGTCTCCACTTAAGAACTGTGCTGAAGATTGACTACGACACCCTGTTGAGATCAGATCCAAGCGGAGAACGTTACGAGAAGGGGGATTTTCCTGGGTGTCTAACATGTCCAAACAGCTAACACACACTGGTGGAAAAGGCTCTCTAACTGAGCTATAGTTCAAGGTTTTGGGGGAGGCTGTAATAATGTATCATTTGTAAAATTTTGGTACCCGTGTACTAATTGCAGCGTCTGTTTTACAGAACAGACTAAAGAATAGGTGAGGTGATTACAGTAACACCTCCTTCCAGACTTGAGGGCATGAGAACGGTGCCATGTATAATTACATGGGCTTCTCAAACCCACGTTATTTTGCTTGCATATCTGTGCCAGAAGCATTTGTTTCGTCTACAAAAGCAGCACATCTCAGAAGCCACGTGGCTCAATAGAAGCTATTGTCAATTTAAGCAGCTGAAGACCAAACAAATTCCATTATCACAGCCCCTTGAAAAAAAGTGGACCTTTCTGAAGTCACATTTTAGTACTGATTGTTTAAATCTTGTCAGAAAACTAGGACCAGCAATAAATACAAAGAGTCCGGAGCAGTTAAGGCAGCCAAGAAAGCTGCACAAAACGGTGTTCTTGCAAGAGACTGAGCAGATTTGCATAATGCAGCTCATACCTTTACAATGCTGCTGGCAAGTTTAAAAGCTAAGTAGTGTTAACTAGAGTTTAACCGTATTTTAATCTCGTACACCCTGTTGGMCACAGATAATGCTAGCTTTGCTCGTTAACGTGCCAATTTTTACTCATCAGGCATATCAGATACACCAGGGTTCCTACTGATCTACCAGTTACAGTAGGCCCATTCAAGTGCTCCACTTTAGTTTATATTTGCTGCAAAAAGAAGCATCCATTAGCTGTTTGACTTATAATACTGTCCCACTAGTAAGGCATCACAGTCTTTAACAACAATTGATATAAATGACACCTCTCATGAACAGTATCCGGAGTGGAGATTTCAGTTACCTGCCTAGTTTTCTGACAAGATGAGCAGCGCAAATACTCTTTTCCTTTTGTGGACAGCAATCTACTTCCTGTTTGAGTAACAGTCTCAGATCAGTACAAACAAGTATGTYGTGCTAGTCAGAGAGTCCCAAAGTGTGCCAAGTTTGACATTTAGAACCATTTAGGAATATATCTTGAAAACAAACTACCCTAAATAGAGTAAATTTCAGAAATGATCCCAGAATCAGGATTTAAATTTGGTTTGTTCCCACGTTTTAGAATTCTTATATAAAAAAAAAAAAGGATACCCTTCACAAGGAGATTTAGTCAGCAACTTGGAAGACAGTAACCGTCTCTCCTTTGAGACTACAACTTAACTAGCACTTCCAATTATTAGAGCTGCATGAATGAAGAGCTGTATAAATAAAAAACATAGTTAATGCCTTAGTCGCTGCGCAAATGTGACTTCAGTTCATGCCTAGCGCACAGCTATTCTATCTGAACTGCCTCACAGACAAAACCTTTCCATTTTAATTAATTAATGACGACGCGCTGTGAACATCTGGCGCCGTCCATCCAATAGCAGTAGAAACTTGTGCTGAGGATTCTCCCATCTGTACACAACGGGGAAGAAGACAATAGAAGTCATTAGTAATCCATAGTACTGTACAGCCACACTAATTTAAGGGACTGAATGCTAGCTGGACTTGGAAGGAGAGGTTAAGAAAATGAACTTTCAGTGGACCATTGAGCACACCCTTGTGTAAACTCATTTGTTTGGATTTGTAACATTCTTAGTTTATATAAGAACATTTTTATCAGATATCTTGCTCTGTATGCACTTAGGCTAGTTATAAAATGCAAGCTAAGGCTCAAAACAACTCTCAAAGAAGTGTAATTAGCATAAGGTTATTAAACTGTGCATGTTAAACTCTTAAAGTGAAAATTTCAGCTACCTAATGCCAGKTTAAGTACTAGAACAGAGCCAGAGTTAACAGAGCTGCTTTTCTAATTGAACCACTCCAATTAAGTGTATTACTTAAAAGACTCGGACCTTACTTCTCAGGGACTTTGAAAACACAGTTTCAGCTGAAGTCAGGGAAAGCAGTAGGCAGTTCAGCTATTCCAAGATGAAGTCCTAAATTTGGACTTCAGTGTTCAGAAATTACCAAAATCACTGTCTCCTTTATAAAGTTTCAGCCCAGATTTTTGAATAGATCAAGCCAGCAAACTGAGAACATTCTTTCCGACTAAATGGCAAGATACAAGAGTAGCAAACTGGGGGAAGCTGTATTACACTGGCCTTAAAAATGTACAAAGCAAACCTTTTAAAACAGCACTAATAGTAGAATAAAGATATTGTAGTATATTAACTACATTAACTGCTAAGTTCAGTTTCCAAGCTAGCTTTCTTCCCTGTGCTTTGCAGAAGAACGTCCTAAACACTCATCTTATAAACTATACATATAGGGATGTGAAATTGGCACAGAACATACAAGCTGCAGAAGCAGGGACTGATGTAGTGACTCATTAGTGCCTCTCTATCCCTACATTACATGTATAATTTAAAGACAATCCAAACACTGGAACTAGACCAAGGCTGTGTAATGGTTTGCCACTGTGAGGTTTGTGACAGCGACAAAAGTGTGACTCGAGACCATCAGCCTTGCTGCCTGCTGTGTATGTCAAGCAACTCCACAGTAAATTCCTTACAATTGGATTGAAACCTGGAAGTGAAATGAGGTCACCAGAATTACCCAGGCCATGCTGGTGCTAGCTGCCAACTTGGGATTCCCCAAAATCTTTCATAAAAAAAAAAAAAAATTTAAACGCAAAAAATAAAAGAAAAAAGTCTTTTGAGATCTGATTAAGTCTCAGACTAATCTGTGTTGAGAGCTACAAAATTTCCATGCATTGCCAAAAATTTATAAATTAAAAAGAGTCATTTGGAAGCACTTGAAGGAAATAATTTTGCACCAGAATAGCCTTACACTAAAGCTCGCATGCGCACAGGGCTGGGAGGATTTGTTTCCTCTTGGCCAGGCCCATTGAAAGGTCGCTTCTGCAACTGTTCTGCTAAGAACAGTAATAGCATTATCARGACACAGCAAGCAGCACGTGGCTGATGCGGTCACATTTCGTAGCGTCTGTTCCAATCACATACCAGGATATCCAAGGAGCTACATGGTGCAGTCCAGTGTGCATTCAGTCAGAATAAGTTAAAAGCGAACACTTACGTGTCAGATGAGATTCAAGTTTCATTAGCCCAAGAAGAAAATCAAGGCCTCCAATCTTAAGCATCCAGCAGACGTCACTTATAATACCAAAGCAAATTCACGGGAAGCATTGCTTCAAAGAGCTAGACAGGAAAACCTTTAAAGGAGGGTCATACCAGACCCTATGCCAAGAAAACACATTCACCTAGTATTGTTTTCCTCGTGGGCTAATTAGAAAACAAAAAATATACTATCTGGCATTGCAGTGGCTCCCAATGCACCTACCTAACCATTGCACAAAAGATTTCACCATTGACATAATACTCTTGATATCCCAGACGTAGGAGTACATATCATAAAGGATTGTCCTGTTGGCACAATTGGAGAGACGAGTGAACATTCCCATCACCAAGCTGCACATCTCTTCGAATTTGGCTGCTCGGTTACGCCATTCTTCTATCTACAGATGGAGGCAAAAGACCCACAAAAATCAAACACAGCCTTCCCAGGAGAAGAGAAACTCTAAATAAGAGGAAGACTATACAATTCCATATTTCATTTTACCATTTCATTCAGCATGGACTGCCATACTACACTAATTAATATTTTCTATTGTTATAAATAATGGCCAATGCTTGTTAAATGCAGACACCAGACCACCTTTACAGCCACATGGCACTAAAGAGCTTAACACAGGGGATTCCATGGAATGGATGGAAGTTACTGTGACCTGCGGTTAATTATATTCCACCCATCAGCRTCTAGAAAAATGAAATACTCTGTTTCAGAAAACACATTATTCACAATTTAAGTATTTAAAAATTTAAAAGAAGATTAGGTCACACTCACTTTTTCAGCATCCTTTCCTTTGCAATTAACACTGACAACACTGCTATTTGCTCTGAGCCACTGGAATTCTCTCAGCATCTGTGCACCTTTGGGCCCGTGTTCATAGGGAAGGTAAAACAAGTCAGCAAGAAGCTGTAAATCCTCTAAAGTCACTGGTTCTACTGTGTAGAGAGGCTTTTCATTTGGCCCAGGCACAAACTGGTCTTTATTTACTTGCTCATCAGTTTGCATAGGGGCAATGTCACTACCAGAGTCTTCCTGCATAGACATCTCTGGGGACTTAGATTCAGCTATGCTCTCTTTATCAGTATCCATCGGTTTTAACTCCTCTGCCATCTTGGCTTCAGCGATATCTGTCAGTATCTGATTAGTATTCTTGTCTGTGTCATCTTGTTTTTCCACCACCATGTCCATTGGCTCCTCATCAGACTGCTTCTTCTCTTCCTCCTTTACCAAGGCGGGGGACTCGCTGCTCAGTGCTGCCCCCTGACTCATGATGGGTTCTTGGTAAACCGTGGTAACCACAGTTGCTGCATTTAAAGAGGATGGTGCCACCAGAGGCCCTACATCCCCTACTGTAGTTTTAGCACCACTGTGGGCCACTTGCCTACCTGAGAATAAGAAGAAACAAGTTTAAAGTTTTCAATATTTGCCAATTAACATTCATTCACGATTTGCAGAAGTCATTGCTCTGAATCTGCTGCTAAGGCATCCATCTGATCAGTGTAGCTCCCTTTTGCCACTCTGTTCGTTCTTCTCCTGCCACTGTAGTTTTAAGTACAGACTTTGTATTTTGGCAAGTTTCCCCTTCACATAATCAAAAAGCAAAGATAAAAGCTTTCAAGGTTAACCTTTTGCCCTCCCAGTCAACTGACTTGGCTTTGTTTGGACACAGGGTGCACTTCAAAAACAAAAGGATACATGCTTAATTACTTCCATTACAAAAACGTCTTTTAACCCAGRGGAGCTAAGAAAATGTAGAAAGATGTTAGCTTAACCAGTGCTCTTTATCCAGTATTTTTTTTTCTGCATTTGAGTTTTCAGATAGGTTTCAAACTCAGCAGATATTCAAAGATGCTAACTACAYGTAAAGAGGTGCGAGGAGCACTTCRTCAGCAATTAACGGGAAAGGGCAAAGTGACAGACCCAAACCCACACTTGATGAAGATTTTACTTCAAAAGCCAAGCTCCCAATGCAACAAGAATAAAGGTGTACAAATCCTCAAAAGAGACATTTTCTGTAGGCAAATTCAGAAAAATAAATCCAGCTGAAAATAACTGGAATAACATGGACATCCTCTGAGGTACCATTAATGTTTAGAGTAATTTAATGTCCACTTTGCACACACACACAAAAATATTTCCTATTCTCTCATGAAAGCCTAAAAACAACTAAGACGAGCAAGATCCTCAGACTCTTTTCTTTCCTGTATCAGAAATGCCAAAGGCTCATACTTCAAAGTTGTTCCTGCTCATCAAAAATGGCAATACATGCACATTGTATAATGTCATACTTCTTAACGTTTCCCCAATAAGTAAAAAATACTTTCACTACAAAAATACACAAATTGMGATCTGTAAAATACTTTTAGACCAAATGTCTTGAACATTTGGTCACATTTTTCTACCAATAACACAATGAAAAAAAAAAAAATCCAACTCACTGCTGTACTGCTGAGGTACCCCAAACTCCTGCAGCCATTCTGTTAGGGCCAACTTCAGAGCCATTTGTGGGCTATAAAGAACATCTGTTTCAATGTCTTCATCACTCCCCTCATTTTCCAGTTTAATCTGGATAGAAACCGTACTGTCTTCAGTATCAGCTACAGAGACAAGTGGAAAAAAGTTATCACGTAAGTTTCATTTAACAAAAACAACATGTTAGACAAAGCAACAAAAAGCAACAGTGCAGAGACTTGATATCTTGGCACTCAGTTTCCCTCTTGATCTGAATTGCTTCAATACCCATCAAGTGAAACTCATGGACACTTACAATGTTGAATTTATGCCACTCAATCATTTGCCAAGAGCACTTTTTTTTTTTTTATACAATTGCTACTACGTATCAASACTAGGCAATTCTCCAATAATAAGTGCTACAGATACTACTCAAGCAGTCAACAAAACAACCTGGGTGCTTCTTATCTCCCAAGCAATCACTCACTCCACCCCCAAGTACAGAAAATGTGCAGTACAGGAAAGGTTACGATAGTCAGAAAGTTGCACGACTTTTATTGTTAAATAGGTGTCCCCTTACAGTCGCACATACTTACTCATCACTACATCTTTTCTCACTCCGTTCATGTTAGATTTGTACCAGGTTGCAAGTGTGTGAATAGCAACATAATTGGCTTCAAATTCACAGTTCGGGTTCGTCAGAACTCCCTTGAGTCGAGGGATGAGCTCAGTTGACCGACCTTTGTAAGGCCCAAGAAAAAGTCTCTTTTGATCATAATCATTAGCATGAATGTTATCCCAGATTACTGGTGCTCTCCTGATGATCTTTGAAACTTCTTCAATGGACTCTACTGGAATATCTTTGGATACAACTTTCGGACCTATCAGTGAAATAGGATAATCAAAAAGTTTGCATATATTTCAGAATTCACTTCCACAAGAAGTATCAGGACACTATTTACTAAATACATATAATAAATAACATTGACACTGTAATTGGATTTGAAGAATGCTGTTTTTACCTGTCCATAAGACATCAATTCCAGGTAGTAACTTTTCTCCCACAGTCCGTAAATAAGGAGACTGGGCAACATTTGGATAGCAGAAAGTTCCACAATATTCTGCATGGGGCAGAAGAGGAAGTTACTACTAGCAGAAGGATGCATGCATGCCAAAACATCCTTAACTGCTCAGTGAACACACACAACCTTAACTTGATCATAATCACAAAAGGACATTTCTGTCTAAACAGAAATCTGTTAGTTTAAGGCACCCAATTCTGTTATTACAAGTGAACGACCGCTCCTCAACTGAGTTTTCCTTTCATCAGTCCACTGTACCACTGAATAGATCAATATTCTTATTTACAATGAAACACTCTGAGATATGAGATGAAGCTCACAACCAAAAGTAAGAAAAAAAGTCTCCCTCACTTCTGTTAAGATTTAACTGGACTTTCATGTTCTTTTACCTGTAGGACAGAAGAGAAATGTGTCTGGTTCTCCTAAGTACTGGTAAATCTCATTTGTGATTGAGACCTGTGCATGAGCAAAGGAACTGAAAACTTCTTTGTCTGCTGCACACATGTTGTGATCAATATCATCAAATAGCAGTGCAAAAGATCTGCATCCAAACTGGGAAACCTAATGTAAAAGAAGAAAAAAAAGAAATCATCTATTTTTATTGAACTGTAGAAAATTCTAAMGCTTTGCCTTTATAAAAGGATCTAACATTTCTCATTCGTCATTTCACTTGAGGAATTATTTTTCAGTTTATAAATGTGTAGTCTAGAACATTCTCCCCAAAGTATATCATATCTAATTCAAAAACCTAAGTAAATCTATAGTATCTTATTAAGTGTGCAGTGCCAGAACAAGAAAGCTGTATGCTGGAGTACTTCCATTTCCACAGCACAGATTGCAAATTTAAAATCCTCTCCAAGAAGAAAAACTACAGGAACTGGGAAGGCGAGTAGAAGCAAGACAGGCTTTGGCATCTGTTCATAATGAATGTCTGCCTCCGACCCACTGCTCTGCCTTCTCAAAGATGCCTCTAAAGACTGGCAATCTGCTCCAGTTTTTGCAATCCAAAGCTGATCTCACCAGACAGCTGGAAAAGAGCTTGCTTTATAACAGCTTTTGGACAAAGGACAGGAGTTAATTATGAGAACAAAGCAGCACATGCATGTCAGGTCTGCCTCCAAAGGCATTTACTGTGCACTAGAGTTCTTGCGTTGGAAATGCATCTTAGCTTTAGGGCCTGGATATACTTTGGAGGCAACCTCACAGTAACAACCTCCAGAACAAGGTACAAGATCTGATCACTCACCTTACTGATCACTGACCACGTACAACCTGAATGTTTGTTTCATCAGAATATAACCATTGGTATTGCTCCCACAGGTGAGCACAATAATGTTAGCATCAAACATATTAAAGCAGCTAGCAAAAATTGAAGAGTGAGTCAGATACTCAACTTAAGCTGCACTGCAACTCTGTAAGTTAATTTAGCACTTACTTGGTCCAGCTTGCGTTTCAGTGTGGATACTTCCTTAGGATTAGAGAAAGTAATGTCAAGTCCAGGTGAGATTGCATAGATGAATTCTATTTCATGTTCTCGTGCAGCTGATATTAGAGTCATTAGCTGCTCTAGAAATCAAATTCAAATATTTCAGGAGGGTTCAACAAAAAAAAAAAAAAGTCATTATATATATGTTAAAAAAAAATACGCCTATTCTACCGTGCACCAAAAAAAACAATATAAACAAAGAAAATGATAGATAGATCTAGATATCTGCTGGAACTTCTAGACATAATGTAGCAAAGGACACATTAAATATTTTCATGAGGTCTCAGAAATGATCCCAGAAATGTGTTAATATCCTGGTATTATTTTCTGTTTCTCAAATTTTTAAGATATTTAAACATTCTCTCCATTTCAGTGCTGCRTGACAAATATGGATGCAATCTGCTTTTGCAGCATGCAGCCCTTACAACTAGTTCTTATACTATTTGCAGGGCTAAAGCTCAGGACACAAGAAAAAAAGACATTTTTGACACCATATGGAAAAAGAAGTAGCTTTAAGAAAGAAGCTTAAAATTTAATTCTCCACATAATTAATGAAGACAATTATTTTTAGATTAATTAGCCACCCTTCTTGTTATTGGCAATAAGCTTGCAGTATCCCTTACATTATACTTCCACAGTGATTCATCGTGGCCTCCAAGAGGGATTATTTAATTTCAAGGTGGTATCACGTTTCCCCTCACTCAAGGAAAATGATAATCCCAAAGGCTAATAAAACACCATATATCCTGTAAAAGTCTGAGGTGGATAAAAAGCCTCACAGCAGCTTACACAGATCTTTATGTTCTGACTAAATAGCCAGAAGCCTGCATTCTTAACTGGGGCTCTCCTCGCTGAGGCAAGTATTTAATGAATCACATAAAACGGCATGCTTYTTTTTTTCTTCCTAAGAAATAATATCCACTTTACAGTATGGCCCAGATAATCAAGAGCTAGAGGGATAATTCTAAGCAACTCTTTCATAGAAAAGAAGTAAATCCCAGAAGACACTCTTAAAAGCAGTCTTAGAAATCATCTGTAGTGCTGTTTTAAAAAGAAGTAAATCCAAACTTGCCCCAAAAGCCCCATTAAGTAGAGCTGCAGGGTATTCAGAACAGGTCTCATGATTCACCTTTAAAACTGGCTACTGTGATTAAACAGACAAGCACGTGCAGCAGCAACCAACTAATTTAAGAGCTGCTTACATAAAATGCTGAGGGGGAATAAAGGCAATTACCTGCTTCTTCCACAGAATACATTTCTCGCCAGAACATCCTGTGCTTGTAGTCATCCTTTGGAGCATAAAGGTATGTATTTAGCCCCCATTTCTGAAGTCTATAAGCACAAGGAGACCAAAAAAAAAAAAAAAAAAAAAAAAAATCAATGACAGAGTAATCTACAAATCCAGACAATGAATATTTTACTTGATCTAATCCTTAGGGCTTTTTTTTTTTTCCCCCTTCATTCAGTGTTGTGTTATACTATTAAATCACTATAACTTTAGGTACATCTGATACTGGAAAAAAAAATGAGCAGTTAAACACGAGGGAAAGGTGAATTTGAATCCCCAGAATACAGATGATATGCAAAAATCCGCTCTAGGTTAGAACAATAAGTCTGTTCAGACCTAAGTGGAAGATTATGATTATATTGTGATGGAATGCGCTGCAGTGAGGGGAAGCATGACTTGCCTTCTAAAAAGTTCTTTCCTCTGCTCCATAACCCAAGGTCTTCCATAAAATCCTATGGGAAACAAGATTAAAAATGTCCAGTTAGATGTCAGATCATGCCTGTTCCATGAAATATTATACTATAACCCACCATTTTCTTCCTCTCCCCCAATAAGCTATTTCTGCTACATTCATCAAAAGGCCTCCCTAGGCAGGAAGAAAAAAAAATAGCTAGACAACATCAGGAAAGCATAATAACCTCAACTGATCTAAATTTAAAATGCAATTATAACTTAATTTATTATGATCTAGAGTCTGATTTTTTTTTTTTTTGCCACTGAAGCAATTAATTTTCCAGAATCCAAACTGAATTCCTCAGCAGATGCCCTTCACAAGTCAAGTCAAGTCAGCAATACTGGGGAGACTGAACAGCCATAATCTAATTAAATTATCACTCCAGGTGCAATCAAACCTATGTTCTAGGTAAAAGAAATCCTGAAGGATACTGAAAATACTTACCTGTTCAAAAAGGCTTAACTAGGGATGCAGACCACAGTTCATACATTCGACATACATAGTATGCAAATAGGTATTAAGGTAGAAGATGTGTAATTAAATCACATGCAAGCAAATAAAATACATGGATTTGATTCTCTTTACTCACATTAAAAGGCTCCCTAAATTTTATTTCTCAATACCTACATCTTTATAGGTTAAAACTGTAACTTTGAATAATCACATAAAAGCATCTACACAGGTAATTTTAGAATAGGCTATACTCAAAGCCATGTAGTTTGAAAATGCAATCTTAGTTTTAAAACCAAAAGTAGATAAAATAAATTTTTCCATTTTGGAAACATAATACTTCAAAAAGCACAGTTACCTCWCTTATATTCATGTAAATTCACTTAGACCTATGTGCAAATAGCTGTATTACAAGTGGGCCGATTCAGAATAAAGCTTCAACTTGGTAGTTTATGCAAAGACCCAAGACTAAAATAACGAAATTTAATAAGTTGTTTTCAAACAGCATGGCTGCTCTAAATGATGAATGACACTACTAACAYACTAAGCTCCCAAGCATGCAACACCAGTGCAAATGTCTAATTTCTCCATGTTCAGAGTTATTCACCTCTACACCATTTAGTATTAAGGAGGTCAAAGCCTCCTGTTACAGCTTTGCAAAATGCAAAGTTGACACAACTGAAGCATTTTCTATGTATTAAGTAGCCTTCTACTTACCTGCTTCAGTGAGCAATGTTCATTTTCAACAGCTCAAAGCAGGCTCAAGTTTTAGGAATTAAGCTCCCAGGGAGCAATCTTAGGCTAACTCACGCCACAACGTGGCAAAGCTGAGTAACTACTGCTTCTCATTTGAAATTGCCAAGTGACAAATGGAGGACAGTTACATGGAAGCGCAAACAAAAGAGAGCAGTTGGCAGGCATGAAAACTRTGAAGATTGTTTCACCTAGAACAAATTCTTCATTTTCACAAGAGTCACCCAATTCTGCTTAGTGCCAGTGTAAGGGAAGTCAGCACATCCAAAAGTGAAAGAGTTGCCGTGGCACCTCATTGATATCACTTCTGCCTCCTGGCATGTCCAAAGTGCTTTCCAATACGACAGCACTACTCCACAGCTAATGACCAGAACAAAAAGCAACCAGATGTAAAACTGAAGAGAACATGTTAGTCTGAAGCGATACAATAGCTCTATTTTCATCTGACACTTCTTAGACTACTGATGTCATCAGCTGATGACAGTATTTCAATCTTTCTGCCTAACCAAAGTAGTCCTCCTTTTGTAGCATCACCTCATGACTGTGTGTCTGGTTAACAGTAACTTAACCTATCCCTGCCAATAGTTCATCCCAATTAACGTGATCTCCATCACTAGAAGGCAGGCTGTTCTGAAGTCACAGCACCAAAACTTTACATCCCAGACTCTTACATTTTATCACTCCCAAAACGGTGCAACCAGTGCGCCATACGCTCTTTACACTCCTGGAGTGCATAGGCTGTATTTTTGCCCAGTTGTTCAGCACTCTCAAAGGAAGGCAAAGCATCATTTATTGTCACACTTGCCCACTTTCCCTCCTTCTCCTCAAAAAATAAAACCTAGATTCTCCAATTCATTGCTTCAATCACATCATACTTCTACTTGTCTTAACTGCTGTGCTATATATAACTATTTATCTTGAATTCTGAAGTTAATCCAAGTTATTTCACTTATCCCCATAGCTTCTCTGTGTCACTAAGAGATTGACATTTTCGCCCACTACTGTTTATCTCATCCATCACAACTGCTTCTTTGTGCTCCTCTAATCCTTTTCTTATGAACATATATTAATATTAGATTGAAAGTTTCTTTAAGTGGGGCCATTTTCTTGCTTCCCATTTCATGCAGGATGGTCAAGAATCAATCTTTATAGAAGCTGCTCCATAGCATAAAACAAAGATGATCAATACCTTAATTTAAATGATTAGAAAAAAGATTATGTTAAGTGAGGGGTCTTGATTTTATCCCTGRTGAACAGCTGATCTCTCAGTCTGGGTATATTAACCAAAATATAAGAAATTGCATTGTTATATATTGCCTATATATCTTTTCACTGATCCTCTTCTTCAGAGCTTTCAATCTGACATCTTCCTTTAGGAAGTTTTACTTTAATAACAAAGCCAAGACACCTCTCTCCAAACTGACTATGTAGGCCCTAGTAAGTGCTAAAAAACAGAAATCCAGGATGAAAATTACATTATTAACTGGGGCTGGAGCACCTCACACAGTGACATTTGCTGCAGCCAAATGGTCGTTTCTTGCTAAGATATGAACAAAAGGGATTCTGCAAGCAGTGCTGATAGTGACTTTGATAAATAGCCTGCTTCGCCATTCCATCTGTTAGCTGTTTTGCTCTCCTCCTGGAGATTCCTTACAGGTTTAAAAAAAATAACAGTAATCCAGGCACAGGAACTTAGGATAATTTCAAACCAAGTATTATATAGTGACTAAGCCATTCCTTCTTCCTAGCTTTCRGGCATCTACCTTCAACAATTTGTCAGAAATGCAAATGCATTGTGTCATTTATTTTGCAGCTCCTGCAACAATTTAAACCTTCTCAATGCCACAAATAGGTGCGCTACCAGAAGAGGCCCATTCTGCGCCGCAATTAAAGCGGCAAGCTACAACAYGGCCCTGGAGAGAACAAGGCAGTACTTAAAGCCAGAACAGATGTCTGCGGAGTCACCTATTCCCTACCCGGGAAACTGAGCCCCTGGCACGCAGGGAGAGCGTGTACAGCTGGGATAATCGCCGAGCAGAGCCGCTCTTCCCGTCCCCACCTCCCCCTTTGGACACGTACGAGCAAGCGAGGCACTGCAGGGCCCCGGCAGCCCGCAGGGGGTGCCCGGCCTGCCCGCACCCGCTGCCGGCTCGCTCCTCGGCAGCTCCCAGCGCCCGCCCGGGGGCAGCAGCCCCGCCCGAGGGCCGCCTCGTCCCCGGGGAGCCGCGGCCCAGGCCGCGCGCGCTCCGCGGGGCCGGAGGGAGCCGCAGGGCCGCCGCCTCCCCCGCGGAGAGCGCTTCGAGCCGCCCCCGCGCTCCGCTCTCACCTTCCACGACGCCGCAGAGGAAGCGGCGGGAGCCCAGCGCCGTCTCCGTCTCCGTGTCCGTCTCCTCGCCCGCCGGCAGCGGCGCGGCCGCGGCGCCCGGCGGCTCTAAGGGAGCGCCGGACACGCCGGCCGGGTTGGGGCTGCCCTGGGGCTCCTYCAGGGCCGCCTGCCCCTCCTTCTGCACCATCCTGCCGCCCGCCGCCAGGACCCCCGCTCGCCGGGCCGGGCCGAGCCGGGCCAGGCCGAACCGAGCGCCCCTTTGTCTCCGCCGCTCCGGGCCGCCGCCGCCGCCGCTTCCTGTTTACGGGGCCCTGCGCCTGCGCGACGAACCGGCCCCAACCGGTCGGCACGGCTGCGGCGAGGCGCAGAGGCACCGCGGCGGAGCCGAGCCGCCGCGCGCACAGAGGGAAGCGGCGAGGGAGGGAGGGAGGCCGCGGCGCAGCGGCCGCCGCCCGCGCTGCCGGTACCGCGCGGCTCGAGCGGGAACAAGGGACTGAGGCGAGGGAGTTACCTCAGGCACCGAGCGGGCGCCGGGGGGGGGGGGAGGAGAATGGCGTGCGGCGCATGCGCGAAGGCGGGAGGGTGCCCACTGCGCCTGCGCGGGAGGCTTGCGGGGGGAGGGGCGAGGCGGCGGAGAGTCAGGGCGCCTGCGCGCGGGGCGAGGGCGCGCCCACTGCGCCTGCGCGAAAGGCCCCCGGGGAAGGGGAGAGGCGGCAGGGGGACAATGCGCAAGTGCGGGGTGGGGGAAGGCGCATGCGCACTTGGCTTTGTGTAGGGAAGCGGCGCCGAGGGGGGAGGGCGAAAGGGTGGGGAAATGAAGTGTTTACTTCAGCGCTGCGCATGCGCCTGGGGCCTGGTGGGGGTGGGGTCACGGCGCAGAGGCCCGGGCTCCAYGGGTGCGCATGCGCGGTGGTGTTGCCGTCTCCCCTGAGTCATGACCTGGTTCGCGCAGCGCCGCCTGGGGCTGCCGCGCGCCCCTCGCTTCAAGCTAAGTAGGGGCCGCCGGGGCCGTCGCGCGGATGGGGGACCGCAGTGCGRCAGGATGCGGTGCCGCTGCCTGCAGGGCTGTGGTCCGCGCTTCCTGAGAGGTGCAGGGGGCCCTGCCCCTGGTCCTCTTCTGTGAGGACCTGCCTGAAGTTTCTTGTGAGTCTTCGGGCCACTCGATGGGGGGAACACGTGCTGCCCCACGTGGGGCTAGAGCAGGCAGGTCCCTGAACTGCGACATGGGGTGACAAGTCGCTGTGTAAACAGGGGTGTGATCTGCAGGCGCATGTGACATAACCCTCCCAGCCAGCCTGGCGGGGGGGACAGCTCATGTGCCACACAGTAAGGCCCTGGGGAGCGATGGAGACCCCGTCCTGCGGTGACAGGTTGGAGAAGGCAATGGACRTCGCAACAGCCGAGTCACCGTTGGACCCAGAGTATATGAAAACTCCAGATGATAGCGCGTCCCTGCTATGCAAATCCCCGTCACCTCTTCCTGCTTCATTCAGCTCTCCCCAAACCCGCCTTGTGTGGCACGTTTCCAGTGGGACAAACCCTGTGGGACAAACAAGACAGCTTTCGAGATCCATCCGGGTCCATGCTCAGGAAAGTCCATGCTGCAAAGAGCCTGGCTGCAGAACATTTCTTGTTACCATCGTGTGTAATCTAAAGGTTTCAAATAAACAAACCGAAACAAGTGATTTTTGCAGTCACCCTAAGTGGAACTAACCAGACTGTATTAAAATGCTGCAAGGCCTTATCAAAGACTGAAGAATTTAGGTAGAAAACACACACATACTCTCATGCTACCAGATCTGCCCAGTTGGCTAAACAGAGGACAGGAGGGTCCTTGAAGCAGCTTTTGCCCTCACCACTTTGATGATCCCCCCGGTAACCTTGCAGTGACAGTTCCCCTGGGACTGGGAATTCATCCTTTCATACATTTGTGTCTCCAGGCTTTGGACAGCATGATGCTGGAGCAAGTTGCTGCCCCAGGCTGCATCAGCCTTACCCTATTGCTCAGCTGTTTCCTGGCTTAGTTACTATTTTTTTTAGAGCTGGGAAAAAAAATGCTTGAAGCAAAACAAAGCTCTATTTTTCTACAGACCAGTATCTGGCCACTCTTTCAGATCCCTAAAGACCCTATTCTCATACTTGACCCATCTTAGGGTCCTTGCTGCTGTCCCACCCTTAAATGCCACGTCCTCACAGGGGACCCCTGGTCCCCAGCTCTGCTTCACACAGCAGCTTCTCACAACAAGTGGATAATGAACCCGACAGCCGCCCGTTCTAGAGGGATGTGACCCAGCAGAGGGGCTGATCCAGCCCTCCCTTCCTCAGCTCCTTCCCCAAATCCTGCCCAGAGGGCAGTGAAGGGGCAGCTAAGCAGCCCCCCTGCCCCACAGTTCTAGGCAATGGTCCCTGCATGGAGCCGTTTGGTCCGAGAAGGCCAGGGCAGCGTTTAGAGGTTGAGCGAGCCCTACAGCCATCCCCCTTGCCCTTGTTGTCCCCATCCTTCTCCTGCCCTTTGCACTGGGGACAGAGACTCTCATGGGTGGCTTATAGCATCCGCATGCCACAAGAGGGCACGTCGAGCCTGCGGATGGTGCTTCCCAAAATAGCACCCAGCCACACAGAACTGTTCCCCACCGGGTTTTAGCAGAGGAAGCGGGTAGAGAAGCTCCGACATGAGCATGCAATAATGCTGTGCACCGGCCTGGGCACTTGGCCAGCAGCCAAAAGGCTCCTGGGGGAGTCAGAGGCCTGGAGCAGTGCTGACCATCCCACACCATCCAGATCCCATCCTTTCTGTAAGCTGCTCACAGCTCCGGGCAGCTCTTGAGGCTTGGCTTTCCCTTCCTGGACTGCAGCCTGCACAATGCTGCCGGGTGCCGCTGTCCCAGACCCCATCAGCTCCTTTGTCCCGTTGTTCAGCTGTTTTCTCACTTGACTGCTTATTTTTTCCTCGTTGTGAGAGCTAGCTGTACTTTTCCAAAGATCAGTACCAGCCTGTTAGTTGACAACCCCAACACACCCATTCCCACCTAGGCCCCCCCCTGCAGGGCGATAGCCAAAACTCTGCTGTCCCCTTCCCCTTGGATTGCCCAGGTTAATACAGGCACCTGCTCCCAGCCCTTCGCAGAGACCCCCAGCCTCTTTCCCCTCCGCCAACCGCCAGCTCACAGAGGCCAAGACCCAACAGCGGTGTGCATAGCGATCGTGGTTAGAGTTTATTGTCTTTGTTTCTCTTTTTTTTTTTTCTTTTTTTTTTTTTTAACCCATATTACTGTTATAATACAAAATATACAGACTGGAGATGCCAAGCGGGTTGTGGGTCACCATGCCCTGGGGTGGGGAGGGAAGGGGGGGTCACACACCGTGCGACCTGCAGCGTGAGGGAGACGGTGGCGTCCGCTCCGCGTGGCGGCGGGGAGGCTGGGACCCCCGCGAGGACGGGCAGGAGGCTGGGAGAGGAGCGGRACACCCACCCTGCCGCCATCGGCAAACCTGGGAACATGACTCCATAGTGGGCAATGTATTGAAGGGACCTAAAAAAACAAAAAGCCCACCCAAACCATRCCCTGTCTGCAAGGGCTGGCCCAGGAGGGGTCCCGCTCTGGGGCCGAGTTTTGGCTCAGGGTCCMCTGTGGGGGAGTATTGTAATGGTGCTGACACCAGGGGCTCAGCCTGGGTCTGGGGGCTGGCTCAGCATGGACCCTTGGTCCCCGGTGCCGCTGTCCCCTGCCACCGCAGCGCGATGCCAGCCCCCTTGGCTGCTGTGGGGCAGTGGAGCCGGGGCCAGGGGTAGCTCCGGCTGCATCCCTGCTGCCKGTGGAGAGCTCGGGGCTTGGCGGGGGCTCCAGGCCTGTGTGACACAGGCTGCGCGTTGGCCCCGTGGGCAGGGATGGGCCAGGACAYGGGCTGCAGAGAGGCAGGAGACACSAGCCCCGAGGCAGCCCGCCCAGCAGTGTGGCCCAAGGAGCACAGAGGCCACTGCAGCTCCATGCGCCTCCCTCCTCTGCTTGTCCCCATGCCTTGCCTGCCGTGGCCTTGGGACAGGGCAGGTGCCCTCATCCCGGGAGCAGGGCTGCTCCCCGCGGCACAGGGCACGGTTGGAGCAAGGCGGGAGCGGAGGTGCTGATGCCCCTTGCAAGACTATCGTTCCTAGATGGTGTCGCCGGAGGGCTTGGGCTGGGGAGGGTGTCGGGGTGTGGGAGCTGTGYGGGACGCTATGCAGGGGACACTACCGCAGCCCCAGGCTTTCCCGAKGGGAAGATCCATCCAGGCGCAGCGCTTGCCCTGTGCCGGTTGTGCCCGTGCCCCGATGTCTGGGAGCGCCTGCTCCTGCAGATCGGGARCTGCAGGATCCTGCTCGGGATCCCCTGCGGAAAGCGGAGCCGGCCCAGGGGAAGGGAGCATCCCGTCACTGACCGCATCCCGGGAACGGAGGCCCCTGCCCTCCGGGGAGCCCGTGCAGCCGGCGGTGGGGAGGCTCAAAGGAAAAGTCGAGAGAGAAGCAGATTCTGGGCCCGGCGGCAGGAGAGCTCRGCTGGAGGCAGGTCCGGGAGCTAAATGACGTTGTCGAAGAGCTGCATGGACCGCATGATGTTCTCGTCCTGCGGGGAGAGGGTGGGCCTGGGCACGGATCTGCTGTCTCAGTGCTCCCCCACATTGGCTTGCACCCCATTGCTCTGCTCTGGCAGCCCCAGCCCACAGCCTGGGATGCCCCCCAGGGGACCGGAGTCCTGGGGTGCAGACAGCTTTCAAACCCCRGCAGGATGCACAGACCTCCTCGTGCTCGCAGGGATGGTGCCCCAGCCCCGGAGCAGAGCTGCTGCTGGCTTTACCTTCTGACAGGACTCCAGGAACTCCTCGATCGTCACCACCCCGTCTTTGTTTCGGTCCATTTTCTGCGGATGAACACGGCACAGAGGAAATGGCAGGCACGGCCCTTTGCTCCGTGCCAAGTCCTGGCACACGCTGGCTCCGAGCTGGACCCTGCTCCCCGCCAGGGCTCGCTCACGGCAGCTCACCTGGAAGAAGTTCTCCACGTGCTCCCGGGGGGCTTCCTCCCGCATGGCCGGGTAGGTGTATTTGCCCATCATGTCGTAGATGGACTTCATGATGTCCAGCATTTCCTGAGGAAAAGGGGAGCAGAGCTGCAGCGGCGACCCACGCTTGTGCCCTTGCCCCGCAGCGCTTTTGTGATGAGGGCTGATCCCATACGTGGACCAGCTTGTAAAGCRTGGGCTAATCCATATGGATTCCTCCTCCAGGGCTCAGTGAGTGCCCCCAGGTCCTGCCCTCATCCCCGCACATCTGCACTGACCTGGGGGGGCAGCGCGGCCCCCCGGTCCCACCTCTTTGGTGATGCAGCCGTCCTTGTTCAGGTCGTACAAATTGAAGGCCCAGTTCAGGCGGTCGTCGATGGTGCCCCGCAGGATGATGGAGAGCCCGGACACAAAGTCCTGCAAGGACGGGCAAGGCTCATAGATGGCAGCCAGAGCCACAGAGGGCTGTGTCCAGAGAGGGCACATCCCCACTCATCTCCAGAGGGCAAATTAATCTCCAGAGCAGATGCCATGTGGCTATTCATCTCTTTTCTCCCAACCAGAAGCAGCAGAAACACTTTTTATTGTCTGTTTTTCACTGTAGCAGGGAGCAGAGATCCCCTGGACCTCCTGGCCCTGGCAGCTGGGGTTTAAGAAACTCCTCCCGCAGTTTAAGAATTGCCTCCCTGGCAATCTGCCCTGGCCAGCGACAGCTCAGACACCGGCACCCAGCTCGTGGCACCCGCCCGTCCCTGCCCCGCCACCGGCTCACCTCAAAGCTGACGGAGCCGTCGTGGTCCGTGTCGAAGGCGTTGAAGAGGAAGGTGGCGTACGTGCTGGAGTCTGCGGAGAGGCGGACAGTGCCGGGGCGGCCGTGCCGAAGGCCCCGCCACGGGCGCCTGGGGATGGGCGCGGGGAGCAGCACTCACCTCCCTGCGGGAAGAACTGCGAGTAGATCTGCTTGAAGTTCTCCTCGTTAACGATGCCGCTCGGGCACTCCTGCTGGGGCGAGGAGCAGCGTCACCCCGTCCGCACGGGCCTGCCGTGCAGGGGGGCTGCRCGCTCCCCCGGGGCTCCCGTCCCCTAAAACTGTGCAGGTCTCCTTGCATCCCAGCCCCCTTCTCGTGCAACGAGCCTCGTGCAGACCCGAGACCTCCCGCAGAGCCAGAAGCTCCCACAGGCGCCGGGTGCCTCTGGAGCTGGGCTCTCTCCAGCCTGGATCACCTACACGGTGATCAAATCTGATAATTTGATGCTCAAGCTCATAGAGCCCCTCAGAGGTTCAGTTCCCTGCCCCTTGCTGAAAATAAAATAAAATAAAAGCCAGTGCACAGCAAAGGGTGGCTGCTAGCTTAGCACTCCTAGGACCTGACATTTTCATCCTCAGGGTCCTGAAGCCTTTTGCAACCCCAGGGAATCAGGAGCTGCCGAGCACCCTCAGAGGGCACCGAAGCAGGGGACTAGCCAAACTCCAGGTGTACTCACGTTCTTGAAGCCTCGGTACAGGACTTGCAGCTCCTTGCGGGTGAACTTGGTCTGCTCCTGGAGCTGCTCCAGCCCCTCGGGGCGGTGGCACACGGTGGAGAGCTCAAACTCATCTTCAACGCTGTCTGCAAGAGATGAGGGGCAGAGAGGGCAGCTGAGGCCAGCCCTGCTGTGCTGGGAGTCAGAGAGGCCCTTCGCACGACACCCCCRGTCCCCTACCCCTGCCCCAGGGCGACGTGCGTTTGGGTGTCCAAGCGGAGTTGGGCACCTTGGGCACCAGCAGTGGCTCCTATCCCACCCCCTCGAATGGCTGTGGGACTCCCAGCCCCACTACTCAGCATGGATAACACTGAACATTGGCTAGGGCCCCAGGCACAGGGGGCTCACACCTGGAGCCCTCCATACTCACCTCTTCCCACGGCRCGGGAGCAGCTCGGAGGGCAGGGCCCGATGCCCATCCTGGGGCTCAGGCTCACGGAGGAGCCAAGAGCTGCCGGCCACGAGCAGCCGGGACTCTGTGCAGCTCTGCCCTCGCCCCCGGCTCAGCCCCTTCCCTCCCGGCCATTTCCAAACAAAGGCCAAGATTCTGCTCCAGCCCCTAAACGGGCACCGGGAGGGTCCGGTGGCACAGCCAGAGCCAGCCCCGCATCCCACAAGGAGCCCCTCCAGCAAGCTGGAAAAAGCCTGGGAGCGAGCAAGGATGGAGGTGGCTGCAAAGCCCATCGGATCGGACGCCTCCGCACCCTGACACCCCCATCTCTGGGGCAAGGGGGTGGCAGAGCTGTCCCCTTCCTGCAGGCAGGGCCCCGGCGGGAGCAGCCAGCAGCGCCGCCGGGAACACACACACACAGAGGCAAGAAGAAGCACTTGCTTTCGCTGAGCGAGGGGATGGATTTGGGCCGGCAGCAGGGCAGCAGTTTGAGGAATCGCTGCTTCAGCGCTTTTTTAGTTTGCACCGGCGGGTTGCCTGGAAGAAAGAAGGAGTCACCAAGCAGAAGAAGAGTTAAGAGCAGCGGCCCCGGGGCATCCGGCACGGGGRCGAGCAGGGCCGGAGACAGCGCATGCAGCGGGGAGCAGAGCAGGAAGGCAAAGCCCAGGGGCTGCTTGGCCTTTCTGCTTCATCCCAGGACAAACCCGGCACATTCCGCAGCCCAGAGGCCAGGGAAGGGGCAGGACTGGGCTCTACTTGCGAGTCCCAAGGACAAATGCCCACTCCTTAAGGAGCCTCCTCTCCGCACAGGGAGGCAGGGCTGGGGTGCGTTGGAGTCTGGGATGAAACGTGGGTGAGAAACTGCTTGTATCCAAGCTGGGGGTCTGGACCCCTGGCTCGGGACTGGAGGGGAACCCTATGGCTTGGCACCGGGTTTGATCCTACCAGCTCGCAACGGCTGCACGCGACCCATGCGCCCAACGCAGCGATGCACCCCGGATCACGACATGCACCCCCGGCCCAGCGCAGCGCGGAGGTTCAAGCCCGGGGCCCTGGTTTGGGACAGCCAGGAGGGGATGGGGTGCAAGGCTTCAGCTATGGGGCAGGGTTGAGGGGCTCCCACATCAGCCTGCCCCAGGAGCACCCCTTCTGAGCAGCTCCTGCATGGGCAGCAGGTCCCCTTGCTGCCCAGCCCACTCTGTGGTCCCTCTGTCCCCAGTCCTGACTTTGCCCAGACCCATCTCCACCAGCTGGTGCTGCCCCATGGCTGCAGACCCACTCCCTCCCGCACGCAGGGCCCCACAGACTGCCTCAAGCCAGCAGACCTCAGCACAGGACTAACACCACAGGCAGARGCAGGAGGAGGAAGAGGACAGGATGAAGGCTGTGGGCTCCAGCCCCCAAAGGGAGGCAGAGGGCTGTTTGGGGCACCCATGGGATGAAAGGTGCAAAGTCCCTTGGGTATCACGTTTGCCCTAAGGGACCTGGGCATCTGCAAGCAGCCTTTGCCCAGGCCACCTGCCCCTCTTAGAGCTTATTTTTGGGGTTGTTTCTTTATGGGGCTAGCAGGAGATGGGACTTGTTCACCACTTTTCTCAGCATTGTGGGCCTTAGGAGATGGAGAACCCCTCCAAGAGCTCGTGGTCCACCCCAGAATCATCTAAATCCTCCAGAGAAGGAAAACTTGTCCCCTCTATAGTGGCATTCACAGCAGGGATGCAAATGCCAGTGATGTGCAAGTGCTCGGGATTTACAAATGCACATCCTGGCCTTTGTGGCAGGCCAACACAGGCAGTGGGTGTGGGAGACCAGGATCTTGGTGCTCACAGGACAACATGACATGGCCTTGTCCATGCTGGGGTTTGTAGATATGGGGGGGGGGAAAAGGAGATTATTTATTTAAATTTTAGAAGGGGGCATCTCAGTTATGGGGGAAAAAAAAAAAAGAGATTTTATCCCAGCTACTTTTCTCTGGCTTTAATTTGCAGGGAAATTGCACCTTTCAGCTTTCCAGGGATGGTCCTGGCCCAGGTCTCCTCCCAGCAGAGCAGAGCTGCAGGGACAGACCTCGGAGGCAGGAGCAGCCCTCTAGCCCAGCAGCAAGAGACAGGACAGGCAGAGCGACACTCAGCGCGGGTGGGATGAGCCAAGGGAGGGAGCAGGGTGGGAAGGAAACCACACAGCGAGAGGTGCAACAGAGTAAACTGTGGTTGGACTCACAGGGGCAGCAGGTACAGGCACGTGCAGTAGGTCAGGTCGGGTGCAAGTTACACTTTAGTTTGTTATAGAGAAGGAAAAAAGAAAAGAAAAAAAAAAAAAGAATGTGGGTGTATTCTTAAGGAGGAAATTAAATGGGGCCCAACTCCAGGAGACCCAGGGAAGGGAGCAAGGTCAGCACATGCAGCTTAACGACARGAGAGGGGGTGACCAGGGCTGGGGTTTTTGCTGTCCTGGCTTTGGTGCGCCCATCTCCTGGGGCGGACACACTGTCCCCTTTGCGTCCCCAGCACAGAGAGCATGAGCAAGTGTCCAGGGCCCAGGTGGGCACCACCTTGCCGGGAAACAGGACTCCGCCCGAACACAGGGAGCATCATAGGACACAGGGGCACATAGGACATCTGTGGCATGAGAAGAGCCCCCAGGTCCTGCCGCTACCGGCCCCCAGCAGAAACAGCTCCCTTCCCAAATGTCGCTTTGCCCCCTCCCGCCCACAGGAGGTTCAAGTTGCCGGCACAGAGCAGGCGAGCTGAAAGCGCTGACAGGGTTTTATCTGCCGGGGAGGTCTGCCGGGTTAAGTGCCTTGTCGCTTCCCATGCACCACTCCACCGCCCAGCGACTTCAGGCACACGCACGCGCTGGACAGACCTCCATCCTCGGTCAACACCAAAAGAAATCGAGATCTCCCCTCCCCACCTTTGCACGCTGCTGACACCAGTCCCTGCAGTCACCAGACCCAGCTCTGCAGAGGCCAGCAAGGCACGGGGACCCACAGCATCTCATGGGGGCACCCCAGGGGATCCCCAGCCTGCCACAGCCACCAGGCAGTGCCAGAACTCTGCCCCCCACCACGGCACCCGCTGAGATGCCTCCTGCACCAGCTTGCATGGGCATCAGCAGGRCCTGCAGCACTCTGGGGTTTTCTCTGCAGGAGGAGGAGAACAGGGAGGTCCCCCAGTCTCCTCAGGGGAGTCRGGATGGGTCCTGCCTGCTGCAGCTTGGCAAATGACCCTCATCAGTCAGCGGTGTCAGAGCAGYGAGTAACCGTGGCCAGAGCACGTGCGGCAGCTGCCGAGGCCAGGAGGTAGCAGACGATTGTTCATCAGGGGAATGAAATCAGAGCTGGCATCTGCCAGGGCAGGGGACAGAGCCTGTGTCCCCCATGGCACAGCTTGAGCCTGGGGCACGCAGAGTTGGGAGCAGCCACGAGACCCAGGGCCGGCACCTGCAGAGCCCTGGTGCCGGGCGGCCCCGAAAGGGGCTTGAGGGCACAGGCCAGAACTGGCTGCAGACACCTCAGCCAAAGGGAGCAGTTGCAGAAAAGTCATTCCTCTGGACACATGATGTGTGAGATCCTGCAAGGAAGAAACAGGTCTGCAACATCCTCCAGCCCAAGCAAGTCCAAAGCACCTTCTGGGCAGACTCACTGCTCCCCTTCTTATCACTCCTTTGATCACGGTTTTCTGCACATCCTCCCATCACATCCATCTGGCTGCTTGAGCTACAGCTCCTTTATCCTGCAGCATCCCTGATGCCAGCCCAGAGGCCAAGGGGATGGGGGCAGAGGGAGGCTCAAAATCCCTCCGCATCATACTCGTTACTGGCTGATTAAGGTCTGCCAGCAGCCGTCACCTAAGATGAGCCCATTCATGGTGCAGACTAGGAAGGCAGCCAAGGGACATCTCTTCAGCCTCATCCACYAGTTCACTCCRTGRATATTTTTCCACTCTCATCTGCTCYCTCCTCATCTCCAGCTTCCTGTGCTGCTGAGCCCAGCTGAGAGAACCCCCCCTCATTTCCAAACCAGCCTTCCCTCAAACCCGACTTGGAGGTTTTTCCCCGGCYATTCTTGCTTCGCAGAGACCCAGAGCATCGTGGCAATCCAGACTTKCTAGACAACAAGCCTTGTATGCAGCCCCACGGTAGCCAGCTGGGACGGGGCCAAACTGCAAAAGAGAGTTGTTCCATGGGCTCTTTCACTCTCCAGGAGATTGGATGCTCCATTTCCAGCCTGCCATTTGCCCWCTTCCTCATGGAGGAGCCACCTCCAGGTCAGGCTGCAGCAGAGCGTGGCCACCAGCTCCTTCTCCAGCCACGTCCCYTTGCTTCCGCTCCGGGCACGCCAGTGGCAGAGACACAGAGCCAGGCCGGAGGGAATTGGCAGAGGAGCAGTATAAAAAGTGATTAACACAAGGCCGGAGGCAGAAGAGGTGCAACAAGCTAATTAGGTCTGGCTGGGCTGAGCGGGACGTGACACGGAGCAGCGGCAGAGCCAGCGGGTGCAGCCCTCGGGGGCACGTGCTGGGGACAGCCACCCCAGCCCACAGCGGGGAAGGGACAGGGGAGCAGCAGCCAGGGCAGCCCTTCCCTCCCAGCTTCATCGCATCTGTTTTAGACACACATCTTGGCTGGGCTCTCTTGGACAGCATTCCAGCACCCTCCCTGCAGCCAGCTTGCCTTGACCTCTCAGGGCTGTCAGGTCTGCCAGGATGGATGCCCTGACCCCTGGCTCCGTGCCCCAAAGAGCAGGCCCTTCCCACAGCCAAGACACTGTGCTGCTGCCAAAGGCATTCCTGGAAAGCAGGAGGAAAGCAGGGCTTGGCTCGGGGCTCTGCTCTCACCGGCACAACAGGGATGCTCCAGGTCTCGCAGACCCTTGGGCCTCTGCTTTGTCCTTTGTGCYAGGAAGCAGCCACTCCATGTCCCTCTTGCTCATCCTTTGGGGTGGAACTTGCTTCCCATGTCTCCCCAAAGGGACCACACATCGCCAGACTTTGGGAWGGGCTTGGCAGTCTCCCTGCCTTGTCCTCCTGCCTCCAAACCCCAGCACCTGGGAAAAGCAGGAGCAYCCCAGGCCAGAGGTTCTGTTTAAAAACCCCACACCACGGATGGGCCCAGGCAGCAGGAGCCCTGCCAGCCCTGGGCAGGCACAAATTATCCCACCGATTACGATCTGCAGCTTCATCCAATATTCATCCGGGCCCTGGGCGCGCAGGCGGCTCTCCCAGCCTTTCATCTCCTCCCAGCCCCGGCCCTTCCCTCCCTCCTCCCAGCTGGGACCAATTGCTCCTTGCTGAATTATTGATGCCGCACTTCAGGAGCCAAAATCAATAGCATTTTTCTTCACCTCCTCCTCCCCTGTCCCTCCTAAACACTTGGTCCAAGCGGGATCTCAGCTCAGGGTGGGAGCAGGCAGCACATGAGCCCCTTGGCAGCTCAAGGGCAGCTTTGCCAGGGAAGATTTGGCRCTAGGACAGGCATAGGCAATGCTGGCATCCCAGGGCAGAAGTCCCAGGGCAGCGACACCAGCCAGTAGCCAT